ACAGGGCACTTTAGCAAGGCATATGAAAAATATGGCCATTCAATTTGGAAGTTAGCACAGTTTGATTTGTGGAAAATGGCTCTTTTGTTGCTCTCTCAATAGGCAGTGTGTCAATCTCATAATCTGAAGGTCTTGAGTTCGATCCTCACACAGGGCACTTTAGCAAAACGGCTATACAAAAACGTACAAATGGTCAGTTTTTGTTTGGAAGTTAGCACAGTTTCACTTGTTGTAGAATGCTCTTTTGTTGCCTTGTTAGCGCAGTAGGCAGCTCGTCAGTCTCATAATCTGAAGGTCTTGAGTTCGATCCTCACACAGGGCACTTTAGCAAGGCATATGGAAAATATGGCCTTTTAATTTGGAAGTTAGCACAGTTTGATTTGTGGAAGATGGCTCTATTGTTGCTCTCTCAAAGCAGTGTGTCAATCTCATAATCGGAAGGTCTTGAGTTCGATCCTCACACAGGGCACTTTAGCCAAAGAGCATATTAAAAAATCTACTAATATGGTCAGTTTTCGTTTGGAACTTTCCAGAGTTTGACTTCTAAAATACTCTCTTGTTGCCTTGTTAGCGCAGTAGGCAGCGCGTCAGTCTCATAATCTGAAGGTCGTGAGTTCGATCCTCACACAGGGCACTTTAGCAAGGCACTATATGAAAAATATGTCCATTTAATTTGGAAGTTAGCACAGTTTGATTTGTGGAAGATGGCTCTTTTGTTGCTCTCTCAATAGGCAGTGTGTCAATCTCATAATCGGAAGGTCTTGAGTTCGATCCTCACACAGGGCACTTTAGCCAAAGAGCATATTAAAAAATCTACTAATATGGTCAGTTTTTGTTTGGAACTTTCCAGAGTTTGACTTCAAAAAGGCTCTCTTGTTGCCTTGTTAGCGCAGTAGGCAGCGCGTCAGTCTCATAATCTGAAGGTCGTGAGTTCGATCCTCACACAGGGCACTTTGGCAAAACGGCCATAAAAAAACGTACAAATGGTCAGTTTTTGTTTGGAAGTTAGCATAGTTTCACTTGTTGTAGAATGCTCTCTTGTTGCCTTGTTAGCGCAGTAGGCAGCTCGTCAGTCTCATAATCTGAAGGTCTTGAGTTCGATCCTCACACAGGGCACTTTAGCAAGGCACTATATGAAAAATATGGCCATTTAATTTGGAAGTTAGCACAGTTTCACTTGTTGTAGAATGCTCTCTTGTTGCCTTGTTAGCGCAGTAGGCAGCGCGTCAGTCTCATAATCTGAAGGTCGTGAGTTCGATCCTCACACAGGGCACTTTAGCAAGGCATATGGAAAATATGGCCTTTTAATTTGGAAGTTAGCACAGTTTGATTTGTGGAAGATGGCTCTTTTGTTGCTCTCTCAAAGCAGTGTGTCAATCTCATAATCGGAAGGTCTTGAGTTCGATCCTCACACTGGGCACTTTAGCCAAAGAGCATATTAAAAAATCTACTAATATGGTCAGTTTTCGTTTGGAACTTTCCAGAGTTTGACTTCTAAAACGCTCTCTTGTTGCCTTGTTAGCGCAGTAGGCAGCGCGTCAGTCTCATAATCTGAAGGTCGTGAGTTCGATCCTCACACAGGGCACTTTAGCAAAACGGCCATAAAAAAAACATACAAATGGTCAGTTTTTGTTTGGAAGTTAGCACAGTTTCACTTGTTGTAGAATGCTCTCTTGTTGCCTTGTTAGCGCAGTAGGCAGCGCGTCAGTCTCATAATCTGAAGGTCGTGAGTTCGATCCTCACACAGGGCACTTTAGCAAGGCACTATATGAAAAATATGGCCATTTAATTTGGAAGTTAGCACAGTTTCACTTGTTGTAGAATGCTCTCTTGTTGCCTTGTTAGCGCAGTAGGCAGCGCGTCAGTCTCATAATCTGAAGGTCGTGAGTTCGATTCTCACACAGGGCACTTTAGCAAGGCATATGGAAAATATGGCCTTTTAATTTGGAAGTTAGCACAGTTTGATGTGTGGAAGATGGCTCTTTTGTTGCTCTCTCAAAGCAGTGTGTCAATCTCATAATCGGAAGGTCTTGAGTTCGATCCTCACACTGGGCACTTTAGCCAAAGAGCATATTAAAAAATCTACTAATATGGTCAGTTTTCGTTTGGAACTTTCCAGAGTTTGACTTCTAAAACGCTCTCTTGTTGCCTTGTTAGCGCAGTAGGCAGCGCGTCAGTCTCATAATCTGAAGGTCGTGAGTTCGATCCTCACACAGGGCACTTTAGCAAGGCACTATAAAAAAATATGGCATTTTAATTTGGAAGTTAGCACAGTTTTCACTTTTGTAGAATGCTCTCTTGTTGCCTTGTTAGCGCAGTAGGCAGCGCGTCAGTCTCATAATCTGAAGGTCGTGAGTTCGATCCTCACACAGGGCACTTTAGCAAGGCACTATATGAAAAATATGGCCATTTAATTTGGAAGTTAGCACAGTTTCACTTGTTGTAGAATGCTCTCTTGTTGCCTTGTTAGCGCAGTAGGCAGCGCGTCAGTCTCATAATCTGAAGGTCGTGAGTTCGATCCTCACACAGGGCACTTTAGCAAAACGGCATTACAAAAAACATACAAATGGTCAGTTTTGTTTGGAAGTTAGCATAGTTTCACTTGTTGTAGAATTTCTCTTTTTTGCCTTGTTAGCGCAGTAGGCAGCTCGTCAGTCTCATAATCTGAAGGTCTTGAGTTCGATCCTCACACAGGGCACTTTAGCAAGGCATATGGAAAATATGGCCTTTTAATTTGGAAGTTAGCACAGTTTGATTTGTGGAAGATGGCTCTATTGTTGCTCTCTCAAAGCAGTGTGTCAATCTCATAATCGGAAGGTCTTGAGTTCGATCCTCACACTGGGCACTTTAGCCAAAGAGCATATTAAAAAATCTACTAATATGGTCAGTTTTCGTTTGGAACTTTCCAGAGTTTGACTTCTAAAATGCTCTCTTGTTGCCTTGTTAGCGCAGTAGGCAGCGCGTCAGTCTCATAATCTGAAGGTCGTGAGTTCGATCCTCACACAGGGCACTTTAGCAAGGCACTATATGAAAAATATGGCCATTTAATTTGGAAGTTAGCACAGTTTCACTTGTTGTAGAATGCTCTCTTGTTGCCTGGTTAGCGCAGTAGGCAGCGCGTCAGTCTCATAATCGGAAGGTCGTGAGTTCGATCCTCACACAGGGCACTTTAGCAAGGCACTATATGAAAAATATGGCAATTTAATTTGGAAGTTAGCACAGTTTCACTTGTTGTAGAATGCTCTCTTGTTGCCTTGTTAGCGCAGTAGGCAGCGCGTCAGTCTCATAATCTGAAGGTCGTGAGTTCGATCCTCACACAGGGCACTTTAGCAAGGCACTATATGAAAAATATGTCCATTTAATTTGGAAGTTAGCACAGTTTGATTTGTGGAAGATGGCTCTTTTGTTGCTCTCTCAAAGCAGTGTGTCAATCTCATAATCGGAAGGTCTTGAGTTCGATCCTCACACAGGGCACTTTAGCCAAAGAGCATATTAAAAAAATCTACTAATATGGTCAATTTTTGTTTGGAACTTTCCAGAGTTTGACTTCAAAAAGGCTCTCTTGTTGCCTTGTTAGCGCAGTAGGCAGCGCGTCAGTCTCATAATCTGAAGGTCGTGAGTTCGATCCTCACACAGGGCACTTTAGCAAGGCACTATATGAAAAATATGGCCAATTAATTTGGAAGTTAGCACAGTTTCACTTGTTGTAGAATGCTCTCTTGTTGCCTTGTTAGCGCAGTAGGCAGCGCGTCAGTCTCATAATCTGAAGGTCGTGAGTTCGATCCTCACACAGGGCACTTTAGCAAGGCATATGAAAAATATGGCCATTCAATTTGGAAGTTAGCACAGTTTGATTTGTGGAAAATGGCTCTTTTGTTGCTCTCTCAATAGGCAGTGTGTCAATCTCATAATCGGAAGGTCTTGAGTTCGATCCTCACACAGGGCACTTTAGCAAAACGGCTATACAAAAACGTATAAATGGTCAGTTTTTGTTTGGAAGTTAGCATAGTTTCACTTGTTGTAGAATTTCTCTTTTTTGCCTTGTTAGCGCAGTAGGCAGCTCGTCAGTCTCATAATCTGAAGGTCTTGAGTTCGATCCTCACACAGGGCACTTTAGCAAGGCATATGGAAAATATGGCCTTTTAATTTGGAAGTTAGCACAGTTTGATGTGTGGAAGATGGCTCTTTTGTTGCTCTCTCAATAGGCAGTGTGTCAATCACATAATCGGAAGGTCTTGAGTTCGATCCTCACACTGGGCACTTTAGCCAAAGAGCATATTAAAAAAATCTACTAATATGGTCAGTTTTCGTTTGGAACTTTCCAGAGTTTGACTTCAAACAGGCGCTCTTGTTGCCTTGTTAGCGCAGTAGGCAGCGCGTCAGTCTCATAATCTGAAGGTCGTGAGTTCGATCCTCACACAGGGCACTTTGGCAAAACGGCCATAAAAAAAACGTACAAATGGTCAGTTTTTGTTTGGAAGTTAGCATAGTTTCACTTGCTATAGAATTTCTCTTTGTTGCCTTGTTAGCGCAGTAGGCAGAGCGTCAGTCTCATAATCTGAAGGTCGTGAGTTCGATCCTCACACAGGGCACTTTAGCAAGGAACTATATGAAAAATATGGCCATTCAATTTGGAAGTTAGCACAGTTTGATTTGTGGAAAATGGCTCTTTTGTTGCTCTCTCAATAGGCAGTGTGTCAATCTCATAATCGGAAGGTCTTGAGTTCGATCCTCACACAGGGCACTTTAGCCAAAGAGCATATTAAAAAATCTACTAATATGGTCAGTTTTCGTTTGGAACTTTCCAGAGTTTGACTTCTAAAATGCTCTCTTGTTGCCTTGTCATCCAACCATCACAAGCACTGTGGCCACTACTACACCTTCCATATGTTCAACCCCACACATGGCCACAATTGCAACAGTGGCCAACATTCTTTCAACCGCTCCAGCCAGTTAACATGAACCGGAGTCTATGGCCCACTTCACAGCAGCTAATGTTGCTACATCAAGTAAGCAGTGCGCACCTGTGCCCTTCCGTGGGCGTCGGGGGGCTGAGTCCTCCTGCTCCGGAGCCGGTGGTGCCTGGCGCGGGGGCCGGTGCCGGGCCGGGGTGTTGGGGCGGGGTGCGTGGCGCTGCTGGGTGTCTCGGTGGCGCTGCGCCCCTTGCGCGCTCCATGCCGCCACCTGGTGCGTGTGCTACTGCGCGCAGGGCCGAGGCTGATGGGCCCGTAGGGTGCGCCGAGGGGGGTCTGGGCCTGCTGGGTGGCGCACCCGCTTGCGCGTTTGTGGTCTGTGCTGCCGCGGCGCTGGGGAGTCCGGGGATCACGGAGATGCCATGGGCAGAGGCTGCGGATCTGCGGCGGACCTATCACTCGCCTAACATCTCAACAACTGGACCCAGTAAGCAAACATCTACACACGTGCCTAGACATAGAAATCCTGTATTCAAGAAGCACCGAGCAACCAATCTATTCCAGACTTTGAATCAAGCGAGGACAATATGGGACACGAAGTTTAGAAAAAAAGGACTACTATGTGGCCATCTCAATATACGTAGCATGACCCCCAAAAAAGAACAGCTGGAACACCTTCTCATGAACTCTAATATTAACCTATTGGGGCTTACTGAAACGTGGCTTACCCACTCCTCTCCAGAAGCAGTGGTGAAAATGCAAGGATATAATGCCTTTAGAAGGGATAGGACTCAGGGAAAGGGGGGTGGTGTTTTAGTTTATGTTAAAGATAGCATCAAATGTATGGAAATTATATGGCCTGCTGATATCACAATTGAATGTATCGGAATTAATGTATCACTCTCTGCAGAAATGACACTCACTGTTATATATCTGTATCGTCCACCCTCCACAAAAGTGGAGTTTTATGAACAATTTAAGGTCCTACTAAACAGATGCAACTTTAACAAAGAGGTTATTGTTTTAGGAGACTTCAATGTTAATTGGGGAAAAAAAAGTGACAGGAAAAAACTTAAAGAGGTCACAGATCACTTTGGCCTTACACAAATTATTAATGGTCCCACAAGGATAACAAGTCTTTCAAGAACACAAATTGATCTTGTGTTTACTAATAAACCAGAAAGAATAATAAAATCACACAACTTCTTGACAGGACTTTCAGATCACAATGCAATTTTTATTTCCAGAAAGCTCTCTAAAAAACGACATAACCATAAAAGCTTAAGCCCTAATCGATTGTTTATACCAAAAAGTCAAGAACAAAATGTAGCTGTTGCATTGAATAACTTTAATTGGTCTGAAATTACTTCCTGTACAAATATTGATAAATGCTGTGACCTCATTTACTCGTCAATCAGTGATGCCGTGAGACCGTTTCAAAGAATGGGATCTCATAAAAAACAACTACATCATTTACCTTGGATCAACAGGGACTGCAAACAACTTATGATTCATAGAGACAAACTTCTTAAAAAATCATTAAGGTCTGGTCTAACGACTGATAGACTAAATTTTGTTTCAATAAGAAATAGGGTTACACAGACTTTAAGAATGGCAAAAGCAAACTTCTTTATAAAGGTGATAGATGATGCCAGAGGAAACTGTAAAGTTATCTGGGATAATATTAAAAAATTGACTGGACAACCAAGAGAAAAATGTGGAAGAGAACTTGAGCTTAAATTTGATAATGAATTGGTCTGTGATCCTGTTATCCTTGCTGATAAATTAAATGAATACTTTCATAACATCACAAATGAGATTGCACAATCTTTTAGATCGCCCTGTGATCCTTTTACTAATTCATGTAAAGAAATAGGGAAACTAGGTGACCGCATACTCTCCCATAGTGCACCTGAGTTTAACATTGAAAGAGTCTTGGAAATTGATGTATTAAATATAATCTCAAAATTAAGAAATTCAAAAGCACAGGATATATTTGGAATAGATACCAATCTAGTGAAGCACTATAAACTGTGTCTGTCAAAACCCATCACACATCTAATTAATGTATCGATTACACAGGCAGCTGTTCCACTGAAGTGGAAGATGGCCAAAATTACACCTATCCATAAATCGGGTGACAAAACAGACCCCGCTAACTATCGGCCCATCAGCATTCTGCCCACCATCTCAAAGATTGCTGAAAAATGGGTGGCCAAATCTATTACAGAACATTTCAACAATGGCAAAGGCCTACACCCCATGCAATTTGGGTTTAGGTCCCAGCACTCAACAGAAACAGCTGTCTGTGTATTCGTGGAAAAGGTCAAGTCTTATCTTGACAAAAATAGTTGTGTTGCAGCCGTCTTCATTGATTTTAAACGTGCATTTGACACGATCAATCATTTAAAACTCCTGTCAAGACTGTCTGAATTTAACTTCAGCGCTCATTCAGTTCAGTGGGTGAAGTCATACCTTTTAGACCGGCAGCAGTGTGTGCAAGTAGGTGACAGTAGGTCCCCCTTTCTCCATTACAACATAGGGGTTCCTCAGGGGTCAATTTTAGGCCCCTTACTTTTCTCACTGTATGTCAATGACTTACCAAGTATCTGTAAGAATGTGGACACCATAATGTATGCTGATGAGAGTTATTTTTACAAAAGCAAGAAGTGCAGAGGAGGCAGCCCTTTGTCTGTCAACAGTTCTTGATGATCTACAGAAATGGCTACGTGACTCCTATCTCTGTCTCAATGTTAAAAAAACTGTATCTATGTTCTTTTCCAAGCCAAACACAAAATTAACCCAGCAAAGGTAAACCTGGGAGGTGTAGCCTTAGAGAATGTAGAACAATTTAAGTATCTTGGTGTACTGCTAGATTCAAAATTGTCATTCCATAATCATGTCAAAAAAATAGTAAAAACCGTAAAATTAAATTTACATAATTTTAAACATATTCGAGCTTCCTTGACTGACCAAGCAGCACTAACTTTCCTACATTCCATGATACTGTCTCATATAGAATACTGTATCACGAACTGGTCTTATGCTGGTATCTCAGCGATTAAACCAGTCGAGTCATGCTACAAAAGGGCACTTAAAATCCTTGACAAAAAACCTCTCTCTTTCCACCACTGTCAAATCTTAGATAAATACAAGTTATTAAGTTTTTCCAATTTTAAGTTATTTAAATCTACTTGCTTGATCTACAAAGTCTTGCATGATTTGGCCCCCCCACCAATGAGTGAGTTCATCAAGCAGAAATCTGTTAGTGGCGCTGCTCGCTTGACTCGAGCGACAGTCAGAGGAGACTGTGATCTCCCACTGAGAAGGACAGCCTTCTCCCAAAATGTCCTGTCAGTCCAGGGCGTAAAGGACTGGAACAGAATACCAGCATCAGTGAGGGACTGCACCAGCCTCCCCACATTTAAGCATCAGTTAAAACTGTGGCTGAGGGACTCTCAAATATGTGAGCATGTGTAACATAAGTCTTGAATAAAGAAGCAGGGGAACAACAGGGAACAGTACAGAAGGGAATAGTGTAGTAGGGAACGGTGCAGTAGGGAGTAGTGCAATAGGGAGCAGTGCAATAGGGAGCAGTGCAATAGGGAGCAGTGCAATAGGCAGCAGTGCAATAGGGAGCAGTGCAATAGGCAGCAGTGCAATAGAGAGCAGTGCAATAGGCAGCAGTGCAATAGGGAGCAGTGCAATAGGCAGCAGTGCAATAGAGGGCAGTGCAATAGGGAGCAGTGCAATAGGGGGCAGTGCAATAGGGAGCAGTGCAATAGGCAGCAGTGCAATAGGGGGCAGTGCAATAGGGGGCAGTGCAATAGGGAGCAGTGCAATAGGGAGCAGTGCAATAGGGAGCAGTGCAATAGGGGGCAGTGCAATAGGGGGCAGTGCAATAGGGAGCAGTGCAATAGGGGGCAGTGCAATAGGGAGCAGTGCAATAGGCAGCAGTGCAATAGGGGGCAGTGCAATAGGGGGCAGTGCAATAGGGAGCAGTGCAATAGGGAACAACAGTGCAGTAGGGAACAACAGTGCAATAGGGAATAGTGCAGTAGGGAACAGTATAATAGAGAACAGTACAGTAGGGAACAGTATAATAGAGAACAGTACAGTAGGGAACGGTGCATTAGGGCAGGGGTTCCCAACGTTTTTAGCCCGCGACCCCCATCATAAATTCGCTGCTCCCCCGCGACCCCCCACCTCAACAGTCCTTCCCGTCAATGAGCATGTACTTCCTTGATACGGAGTAACGCAGAGACTCGCGCCACTACTGAGCTGCACTGTCCAGCCCAAAAAAGGAGGCTTGCGTATTTTTACTCACGTAGTGACACAGTGATGGGCTTGGTGGGCTTCCTTCTTAGCAGAAGTGGAGCGCATTTCTTGCGGCTCGCCCTCTCTGTTCTCATACCGCGGTAAAGTGGCCCGGCTTTTCGGAGTCAGCGGTAAAGAGGTCCGCACATAAAAAGCGGGCGGCCGCTTTCTGCTGTTACTTTATGCGCTTCATCCCCGCGGCTTCTTTTTCCAAAGTTACTGTAAGTAACAGCATAAAGCAGCCACCCGCTTTTAATGTGCGGACCTCTTTACCACTGACTCCGAAAAGCCGGGCCTCTTTACCACCCTCTTCTATCGCTGCCTTCCCTCCCTCCGCTGCCCTCTCTCCTTCTCTCCCTCCGCTGCCCTCTCTCCCTCTCTTCGCACCATCAGCCTGACCTCACATGTGACTTTTCTCCCCCTCCGGGTTTTTCTGTTGTGGATATTAACCACGTTTCATTTTAAAGCAGGTATTATTTGTTTGAAGCCTCCAAACACCTTTAGTTTTAGCAAACAACAGCTGGACACGCTTTGTCGCTGCGTGACGTAAGCTGCGTAACTTGATTTTGATTGACGCTGTCAATGACTGGACAAAATTACAAACGTAATTTAAATATTTTATATTCTCCTAACACAATTTAACAAGTAGTCCTTTTGAATCAAATCAAATGCTAAATCAATATTTAAGGGCTATTAATTAGCAAAATGTTATTTTTTTTTTTATTTTTTTTGGAAATCATCTTGCGACCCCCCCCAGGGGTTCCCGCGACCCCCCGGGGGCCCCCACTTTGGGAACCACTGCATTAGGGAACAGTGCAATAGGATGTGTGAAATACAATGTCTCAAGTCTTTCTGTCAATTGTTGTTTACTGTCTCACATGTCTGTACGTGTTCAGCTGTCCTTGTACATGTCCTGTATATAGTCTTGTGTACACTGTATTTTTTGCATGATTTGTATTGTTACATCTTGTTTGTTTTTATGTTCTTTGTTAACATCAACCTGCCAGGAGGTCTGCAGATGGAAATTAGCCTAAGGCTATAATCTGGCATATTTACATTTGTTAAATGTTCATTAATATGCATTGTACCTCCTTTAACACCCAAATAAATAAAAAATAATAAATAAAAAATATGCTTCTGTTGTAGCAGGAGTCGGTTGGACCTGACAACATCCAAGGCTTCAAACAGGTCCAGGACTTAGTTGACCATCTTTTCAGTCTGAGGGATCATGGCTTGGCCTTGTCCAAGGCTTTTAAAATTGTCACCTTATGGAGCCATTTGCAGGAGTAAGTAGTAAGTAAGTAAGTTTGTATTTATATATCGCCTTTTCACTGCAGATCTGAGTCTCAAAGCGGTTTACAATTGTCAATTTTTGGGCATTTGTCTCTCACTCCACACAGAGATGGGAGCGGGGTCGCCAGTACAGGAGGCGCATGCCAGAACTATTGGACATATTTTTAGTGGTAGGGGAAACCGGAGTACCCGGAGGAAACCTACGCAGACACGGGGAGAACATGCAAACTCCACTCAGAAAGGCCCTGGTCCGACAGAGGGATTCGAACCCAGGACCTTCTTGCTGAGAGGCGAGAGTGCTATCCACTCAGCCACCGTGCCGCCCAGGAGTATGACAAGAGCCGCACAGTTTATTCTCCACGCTTCCAAAACACGCTGACCAAAGGAAGATTCAGGGTATGAATCAGGGCAGGTGAATATTTTGATTTTAGTCTCATAATCTGAAGGTCGTGAGTTCGATCCTCACACAGGGCACTTTAGAAAAACGGCATTACAAAAAACGTACAAATGGTCAGTTTTTGTTTGGAAGTTGCCAGAGTTTGACTTCTAAAATGCTCTCTTGTTGCCTTGTTAGCGCAGTAGGCAGCGTGTCAGTCTCATAATCTGAAGGTTGTGAGTTCGATCCTCACACAGGGGACTTTAGCCAAAGAGCATATTAAAAAATCTACTAGAATGGTCAGTTTTTGTTTAGAACTTGCCAGAGTTTGACTTCTAAAATGCTTTCTTGTTGCCTTGTTAGCGCAGTAGGCAGCGTGTCAGTCTCATAATCTGAAGGTCGTGATTTCGATCCTCACACAGGGCACTTTAGCAAGGCACAATATGAAAAATATGGCCATTTAATTTGGAAGTTAGCACAGTTTGATTTGTGGAAGATGGCTCTTTTGTTGCTCTCTCAATAGGCAGTG